AAAAAAAAAAAAAAAACACAAGTATAAAACAAACATAGATAATTCAAACATGTTCAAATACTATATGAAATGTTTTCTAAAAAATGTCCTGAAGCTGGACCAACACCACATATCTGCTCACGCGTCACGTGGGACTCAATCACCTGAAAAGATAGGGTAGTGGGGAGGCATGAGCATAAAGGAATCAACGGTGCTCCGCCGGAACTGACACTGAATACTCAGCACATTTAATAATCCATCATGAAATTAGCATATATATGAATAAACTGGAACTGACTATGGGACTAACGGTAACCGGTACTCATGTGCACACTCTGGGGGTCCCCTCCCACAGAAATCTAGGCTGGGCATCGACCACTCATCTGGACGCTAGACTTAGGCTGGGCCTCGCCAACTCATCTAAGTCATAACTGACATCTCTGACATCTTGACCAAGACGGGATCACTCATCCGTCTCGGTCCTTCAATTTAATCACATATAGACCTCGGACATGGTAAGTTATTAAAAGCGATGAAATACACTGTACATGGTCCCCACCTGGAAACTGGCGAATGCAAATGCTGAAACTGAAGTGGGTAGCTGACGGAGGCTCGACTCTCCTTAAGCTACAAAAATTACGAGCGAAATATTCTAAGTACTGGGCTCAGAATAAAACTCGAATCTTTTATTATTTGATACGGTTAGGTTCGCTCACTCAGCTTTAAAAATCATTTAGGGATTTACGAGTTGATTTTGAAAATATTATTGTCTTTGAGGATTCTAGAGTTCTCTGAAATATTTCTAAGTCTGGAACTAAGATCTGACTTAATCTAATCTGACTGAAATCTAAATTATATCTGGATCTTAAATCTATCTGGAATCTTAACTTTATCTGGAATCTTAAATATATCTGAAATCTTAACTATATCTGAAATCTTAGCTATATCTGAATCTGAAATTTATCTGAACGATATCTTAAATTTATTTCGAACCGTCCGGACTGATCGGACCGGTTCGACTGAATTGGACCGACAGCTCACTCGGAGCCGGTTGATCATTCGCTTGACTATGTGCAGCTCGGTTTGACCGTGGTCCGAGTTCGGCATGGCAACTCGGGTCGGCACGAACTCTGCTGACGCGACTTAGCCGATGCACGGGTTTGAAGCGGTTCCACGGTCACTGACGCAGGGGCGTGCTTGGACCACGACTAACGGAACAGCGCGTAGACGGTAGTTAAGATGGACTCGGTGCACGGGCAAGCACTCGATGGTTTAACTTGGACTCGATGCACGGGCACGCACTCGACGGTTCGGTCCAATGGTCGGACGAGAGTCGAGGACGTGTGTGTGACGACGATACGCATTACGAATTAACGATACGCCGTCTAAAAATTATTCAGACAGTACTAGGGTTCAGTCAATTATATTCGGATCCGGAAAAATACCCGATTATCGAAAATCGGATAAACTAGGGTTACTTATTCTCGAAAATTCTAACTCACTTAAGGCCGATATTAAAAATATAATTTCTATGTGATTTATAATGAAATTATAATCCACAACTGCAGCTAAAATCTCAATCGGGTTAATATTCTAACATATCGCGTTAACGAAAAGTCCAGATTTTTATATCTAAGTCAAACGAGATCCAAACTTCACGAAACTCGAAACATAGCATCCTCAATATACTTATAGTCAATGGTCAACATATCAAGTCAAACGGCAACTCCTAACCTAGTCAACTCAAAATCGCTACGACCGGTCAACACCTTTCACCGGCTCGTTTGCCTATCAATCGAAGTCCGAAAAATTGCTTCAAGCCCCAAAATACCGATTTAATAAAAAACACTCAAATCAACATATAATTTTCTCTTATCTCATTTATATCATCAAGACTAAGCCATAAAAATTGAGTTTTAACTATTATACCTTAAAATGTTCGAAAACGAGCGGATCGGGAAATTAGGTCGGGATAAAGAGTGAAAAATGGAGCAAGGGGCTGCTGTGAACCAGAGCTGCGCGCGGAGGGTCGCTGGGCTCGGACTCGGGGTGCTGGACGCGGTCCCGGTGCAGCTGGTCGCGGTCCCGAGCTTGAAAAGCCGCTGTCGCCGGAAATGGTGCAACCTCGAGCTTGGGAGGCGGCGGACTGAGGTCGGGAGCTGCGAACTGAAGCTTGACCGGAGCATGGACGGCATGGCGCTGCTGAGAACGGCCGTCGAACGTCGTGGACGGGAGGTGGAGCTTGAGCTGCGGGTCTGCGCGCGAGAGGAGTTGGGACCGACGAGCTAGGGTTGGTGGTGAGCTCAGGCTGAGGTCGTCGTGCGCGTGGTTGCTCGTCGCCGGTGCGGCTGTAGCCGGAAAGCGGGTATGCTCGCCGGAAAATGGAGAGGGTGGCCAGATTTGCTAAGTTCAAGTCATGGTCTCTTGGTGAAGATGAAGAAATGAGTTGTTTCTTTGATTTGAAGATGGATTTTGAGTGAAGATGATGGAGAAGCCAAGAAATTGTGTATTCTTAGCTAGATCTTTAAGATTAAATGTACTGTTTGTGTTAGGAGCTTGAAGATGGGAGGTTGAAGATGATGAAGTGGAGATGATGATGAATAGTGACTTGGGGGGCTAGGGTTTTGTGTTGGGTGTTGGGAGACATGGGGACATCTATTTATAGAAGGGAGAGGAGCTTAGAGTTTACTCTTGTTATTGGGCTTAGAATCGGGCCTAATCAATTGGGCTCGATTATAAAATACTACTCGGGCTCGGAATAAAATACTACTAGGGTTGAGAATTTAATTCGACTAAATTTAAAAATGTCTCGATTTAAAATACTTGGGCCCGGTAATTAAAATAATTAGGCCGATTTGTCGAAATAAAATAAGCCCACTTAAATGAGCCCGAAACTTGGGCTCACTCGGGAATTAAATAAATTTCCCTAATACTCGATAAAATAATTAATCGAGTCTCTGACTTAGTATTTTTATCTCGTTTCCAAAATAATTATTCGAATGTTCTTCTTATGGCTTAAACTTTACTACTGATTATAATGAATTATTTTAGTGCAAATAAATATAATAAATACATCAAATGTGGAAACTTAATATTAATGGAAATATAGTCGCGCTACATAAATATTAAATAAAATTCTGGGCGTTACAGAATGGGTACTTCTGGCGATAGTTGTAATTGATTTTATTAAAATTACTATCCGAAAAATTATCAATCAAGTGCATATTCTGTATTTTTTTATATGATGAACAATATTACAGTTAATGCTGTATAATCTCAAAACACTTGAATAATTGTTAGTTCTTACAGAAACACTTGAGGAACTTCCTTTGGTAACTTTCTTAAACACCCCTAAAAAACAAATGAGCTTAAACAAAATTGGTGAAAAATGAAAACTGTTACACAGGGGCCACTTGAGCACAATCTTGCCACACAAGACATTATTTGACAAGCTCTCCATGCTTCAACATACTGCATTCTCCAGACATTAAAATTTCAAGGAGACACTTAAAATTATCCAGTATAAAACCTCATTGTGATACACTAAAACAACTGGGGAGGCGGACATGATTAAGCTGTCTCGGTTTTCTTTTCCACGCCAGTTGGTTGTTGAATACTTTGATCTGTCTTGTTAGAATTTCGCGAATTCGCAATTCTTTCGGCTTCAGCTTGCTCGAGTAGAGCCTGTCTCTGCATGGCCATCACCATCTCTCTCATAGATTTCTCCTCACCTTCGAGCTGTGTTTTCATAATAATCTCAGCTTCCTTGTCTATCGGCTTAAAGTGTTCCTCAATTGCTGCTTCCTGTTGGGCCAGTGAACATTAAACTAATGTTCAGAGAAATGAAAAAAGAAAATATTCAAATGTCCCAAACACCCAACATGGGGAACAAAAAAGAAATAAGATTTGAAAGTTAGCACCACGGCTAAGTTAACTATCTGTAAGTGCTCAAACTACGTCTATGTGCAAGTGAAGACCTGAAAAGCTCCATTTGGCAAGCTTTTTTTACCGAAGAAGATGAAAGAGAATGAATAGAAAGGAAAAAATAAAAGAACAATGAAAATTAGCACATGCCACATGTTTGGACTAGCATGAGATTTAGTTAGATATCTACCAATATTTTGTTTGCTCAGCATAAGAAAGTATGACGTCAATCTTACATTCAGCCAATCAGTATATCACATGCCGCATGTTTGGACTTTAAATTGCGAACTTTGAATGAACAACTAAACCTGAAGTTTCAAATTAGGCATTTACTTAAACTATGCCAAGAATATGTTGCTATTATTAACCAACTCATTTAACAAACCACAAACCAATAAGAAACATATACAAGCTGCACAACAATATTTCACTTACTGTTTCTTCCAACTTCTTATTCAAAGACTGCATATCCTCCACCATTTTCCGCACCTCTGATAAAATAATTTGTTCGGGAACCTTCTTAAGAGCTTCTTTCCTCTCTTGAGCCTGTGAAATTAGTAACAGAGATGGGATAAATTACTCTTTGCAGGAGAGAAGTTCAAGAAAAGGCCCTGCACATTTGTCACATTCATCTCCTTTGTCTTAATTCATTTACAGTTCTAAAATATTTCGAACTTACACACACTCATCTCCTTTGTCTTAATTCATTTACAGTTCTAAACTATTTCAAACTTGTGTAAGTTAAGTTAAGAGCTCAAGTTAGCGCCTTTAAATTAACAAAAGCATTCATGAAAAGCACATTAGACAATGATTAACATGAGACTGTTTTGATATTCAGCAACTTGCTAAGCCATAACATGGTGAAAGAAAAATGAAATAAAATATTTCAAAATTTGTTCTTCCCCTCCATTGTAGGAGACAAACTACAATAAATGCAACAATCAAGCATAGACATCTTCTAGTTCTTAATGAATTCCATTATTTTCACAAACATTACTAATGAAATCCATTCTAGTGGCCGAAATGAAACCTAAATAAATAGACAAATAAAGTTCACACACACACACACACACACACACACACACACACACATACACATAGAAACACACACACACACACACACACACACACACACATACACATAGACACACACACACACACACACACACACATAGAGAGAGAGAGAGAGAGAGGGAGATTTACCTGTAGAAGGCGTTGTTGGATTTGCAGTCTGTAAGATCTGATTTTACGCTCTTCATATCCCGAAAGAACCCTAACATAGAACATCGCTTTCCTACCGAATTCCAAAAGCTTTTCCATTGCAACTTTTCGTCTTTTTTTTTTTTTTTTCCTCACTGATCTTTTACTTCATTGATTACTTTTGGGTATGATTTCTATGTCCTAATCCTGAATCAATTAAATAAAATCGCATGAAATTTTGGATGAGTCGAATGGGTTTAGGGTTTTTTTTCTTGATTTGGATGATGATTTGGTCAGTCGGTGAGAAGCTCCAGGACGAAGACAATTTGAGAAGTTGCAACATTTTCTTTTCAATTAATAACCTTATTTAATAAAGATAGAGATAAATGTTTTTTAAATAAACATAGAGATAAATGTTTTGAGAAAAATGAAGAGTGAATATGAAAAGACAATAGAGATAAATGTTTTGAGGAAAGTGAAAAGTGAATATGAAAAAACGTATTTATTGGCTGAATGAGAGTAATAATAAAAAATCTATTAATATATAATAAGGATTAACTTAATTAATTTTTAGTAACTAATTCCCGCCAAAAACATTAATTACTGCCTATAAATAGTAATTTAACCCAATTTCAGAAAAACACTATTAATTATGCCCGATTTACATGGATATGGAATAACAGCAATTGTATGGAATGGAATAAAAATCATAAAATCGCTGCCATTAGCCATATAATACTATTTTAGTATTTTATTTTGTTCCTAAATTTAATTCAGATAATTAAAAACTATCAACTGTCCATTACTGCATAAATTTTAAATTCACTATCATCTTTAATCACAATTTTTGAAATATCACTATCAACTTTAATAACAATTTTTAAAATATGAATAATTAATAATTTTTTAAATGTCAATGTCATGAACTTTAATCACAATTTTTAAAGACTATCAACTTTAATAACAATTTTTAAAATAGCAATAATTAATAATTTTTAAAATGTCAATGTCATCAACTTTAATCACAATTTTTAAAATCACTATTAATTGCTGCCCGTTTAAATATGGAATAGAATAAAAATCCTTTATACACGCCATTAAATATGGAATAACAGCAATTGCACATAATTTGGAATTGGAACGTACATAGCCATTTTTTGGCTCCATTATCACTATTAAATTACTGCCGATTAACATTATTTTTTGTATGAAATGGAATAAAAATCATTTTTTCACGCCATTAAATATGGAATAAAAGCAATTGTACATCTATATATATCTAAAAAGGATGATGGAAAAATCCTCAACACGCATAGGAAAACAAAAATCACAAAATACAAAAATTATTTTATGGCACCATTCGGAGGCACAGTAGACGTCGTGAGTCGATTCAACAAACCATTTTTTAAGTTGAGAGTAGTTCTACTGCTGGAACTCATGACGATCCGGAGCATCCAAACGCCTTTCATATCCTGTTTCATGATGAAGGGGTAATTATTTTCAAATATTTTATCATTAACATTATTTTCACTGTTTGTATTATTTATTATTTTCGAAACTGAATTTACATTTTTTTGTATTATTTATTATTTCAACTATGTAGGGTTCATACATGAAAGGAATAGTACGTTCGCAGCATATGAGCATATTTCGAGATCGCCTTAAACAAGGCGAGGTGTATTTTATTCGCAATTACAATGTTGAATATAACAGTGGGAGGAATAATATAATAACTCATTATTGGAAGATTGTCCTTAATGGAAGGACAAATTTTATCAAATACAATGGGAATTTTCCTCAATACTATCAATAATCGAGATATGGTTGTCGTCTGGATTTCTTATGTTTTTATTATATATAGATTTGATGATGGATGTGTACTACATTTTATCATGAATAAATTTTTATTAGTAGACTCCTTTGATTTTGTACTTACATACAGTTCTTTTATTGTTTGTTTGTTTTATTTGTTCTACATGATTTATTTCCATATATCTGTTTTGTTGTTCATTTTTTTTATTTGTGTTCTTTCAAATTCTAATAATTTTTAATTTCATGTTATTGAATTTATTTTATTTTATAATTTATTCGATTAAATCATTGCATGCTTGAACAATTTAACATACTCACCTTTTTTTAAAATAGATTACATTATTATAATTAAAAAATAGGATATTATATTAAAATTAACAAAATTTGCTTCTTTTTTTTTCTTTTATGCGCTTAAAAAAATATTAAGCTTGATCAATTTATCAATTAACTGAATAATATAATTAAATAATATAATAATACATTTGGGAAACTCATTTCTATAAATTGTTTCTATAAATTGTGTTTCTATAATCAATTAATAATGAATTCGTGTATAAAGTTTTGTTTTAATGACGATTTAATTATTTTAATGATGATTTCATTATTTTAATAGATGTTGTATAATCGGGATATTATAATCTTTACTAATAATTAATAATCAAAATAAATGCGAACAATTAGATAAACAAATATATATACTTAACAATATCATATACACAAATTTACTAAAAAACATGTTTTTAGTCATGGTCAGTTATACGTCGCTGTTTTCACGTGTTACTAATAGGAAGAGGTTGAAAATATTAGTTTGTGGGGACGATGAGTTACCCAGTAATCAAACTAATAACGTTGTATATAAGGAGATTTTTAATAATGTATAACTTTTTACAAATGACGATTTTATGTTTACTTTATGAATGTCATACATATTATAATAACTTACTAATTAATGATCTTTTAATTTTTTAAAATATTTCAAAACATGTATTAGCCCGTGCATCGCACGGGTTACATACTAGTATGTACAAAAGATCCAAAACGACATTTATTTGGTAAATAATTAATAAAATTAGAATGACATTTAAAAAAATAGGAGGGAGTATAAGGCAATCTTGAAGAGCAATTTACCAATAAAAAAAATAAAAAAAAATGTTGACAAAAAAAAAAAGAAAAAAAAGAGAGTGGACAAAAATGAAAATGACGTATTTAAGGAATACGTTTTCTGTACAAATTGTATAGAAAACGTATTTCTTAAATACGTTTTTTCAGAATTTTTTTCAAAAGAAAACGTATTCATTGAATACGTTTTACAATTAAAAAAATGGTAAAACGTATTCACTGATGTAACGCAAAATTTCGTATTATTGAATTAATAAACACGAGAACTTCGGACAAATAATTTTCAGCGGATCAAATGAAATATAGTGGATTACAAATCTATATTATTCCTCTGATTAAATTCTTCAAGAGCGGTCTTCAAATGGACTTGAGACTTTTGGAGACGAATCTTCAGTTTGATCCCCGCCGGTCTTGAATATGGATTTAAATAACGTTTCTTCGAGGGCTTGATAACTTGATCTCGAATCGAACGCCGTGATTTCCCAAGAACGTGAAGAACACGAATCCTTGGTCTTCGCCGCAAAGTTGATTTTGATCTTCTCTACGTCGGTCTTGACTTGAATAACGTAATTCGGAGGCTTGTCAGCTTGTTTCTGGATTAAACGTCGATTTTGGGCTTGAATGCGCTTGAATCTTCCTTCGGGTCTTCAA